AGAGTAATTGTTATCCTTGCTTTGAGAACGAAACCATTAGCGCATCATACAATTTCATATCAATAAATAAATCGTTACCTACAGGATTCAAATTACACCAAAAACAAATTAAAAATACCATACGTTCTTGTAACTTATATGCTTGATTGATGATGACTCATGTAGACAGTAGCGTTCTTAAGAACTGATTCTACAGTAAATTACCATATGTTTTCAAAAATGCTTATCTTTTGGAACTTTGAGTATTTTGTGAATGTAAGTAACATTGAATGTTTTGTAATTTGTAATTTTGTGTGAGATTGTTTTTATATTCAAATTCAAATAGCAAGTATCTGATTTTGACGATTTGCAAATAATCAGATTTTGGATGAATATTTGTTATAACAAATATTAGCTTTGGACGAGTCAAGTAGTCCAAAATTCAGTTATTTGAACACGCCAAACCGAATCTCATGTACTTAAAAATTAGCAAATTCTTAAGTTGTTTGCCACGCCGTCTACCCTCGACTCCAAATCCAAATCCAAACTCATATATATTGAACTAATTGTTTGAGTTCTACCTTTGGTCGCTTTTTTTTTGTTTGATTTTTGCTTTTGAATTAGATGTTTGCAAAATGATTTATTTCATAAAACAAAACATAATTCAAAACAGTTGGTAAGAAAATAAATGCAACAGAGCACATTTGTCAATGCACACTGCTTTGGAAAATGTATTAAAAAAATCAACAAAAGATGAAAGTCTTAAAAATGAAAATTTTCAAATTTTCTCGTATCCCAGATTCGTGTATTGGTGATTTACGCTTTTCCGAAAATAAAATAAACGGGAAGTCGGAAATTATTTTTTTTATGATGTTGTATCAATTATGAATGCAAACAAATTTATTGATTATAAATGAGGATTATTTTTTATTTTTTGGTAGGCATAAATGAGGATTATAAATTAATGTGATCTACATCACAGCTGCAAGGCTGCAAGTGTTAGTTGTAGTAAGTGATGTTGAAAGCAGAGGAGCAGTAGCAGTCTTTGTTGTTGAACATTTTTCAAAATATCTTAAGACTTAAAGTACCGTTAGTATATAAATCAATAATTTTCAACTTTTTGTTAAACATCTTTCACTGGTTATATTTTGTGGATCACAATATCATACTTTTAGGTTTGGAGGGTGTGTGTGTGTGTATATATAGAGTATTTACTATTTATCAAACTTCAAAATCCGATTGGTAATTAGTGTGTAACGTAAATGGATGTATGTAACTCAAACATTTGGTAATAAAAATAGTACACTCTCTTTTGGAAAACGGAAAGTTGAAAAATAAATATTGTATCATTTGTGCATGCTAAGATATATTTTCATTAACATTGTATGCAGAAAAAAACTTAACTGATTTTAATGTGATGTAAGCGTAAGTGTGATGATGAGACTTAGCGTGATGTACATATATTTTTAAGATCATTATGATGGTAGCAGACGAGCAGACGCATGCAGAACTTAATTCGGTTCCTCTTGGAGTGTGCAAGTTTCGACAAAAAAAAAGAGTGTGCAAGTTACCATTACAAAACCCATAGGTCAGGAGAGTGGGTGTACAATAAATATATCTTCTGTTTATAACAAATCGTCATCAACACAGAGAATATTGCTATCTCTGGGTTCTGTCTTGCAAAGGTAGAAGCTTTCCCGCAGAGGAAATGGGTTTTAATGCAAAAACTAGGGCTCCATATAACACACTCGCGTTTGTCTATATAATATCAACACAGTCACGGAGAAAAGACAGAGAAGAAACAAGAAAAAATGAGAAGGATATCACAAGCAGTGAGTAGTGCAGCCAAGGCAACGGTTTCAAGAGCTAAAGCTCGTCCGGTGGCATCAACGACAAGCCAATGGTACTCCACCGTACCTCCTCCAAAAGACACGGAAGAAGGAGAAGAGGAAGAAGCAGAGGAAGAAGAGACGAAGATGATTCCTTTCCCTAGCCACATACCCGGCGGCCTTGTGGTCAAAACGAAGAAGAAGAAAGGACCTGAGACATCGACGGGAAAAAACAAACAAGACAAATCCTCATCTGGTCAAGACTACGGGCAGGGACAAGGAACCAACGGTGCTGGAAAACCAGACTATGGCGGCGGTTGTAGCGGATGCCCTGGTTGCAGCCGTTGTGGTTGCCCGGGATGTGACGGTGGCTGCAAGTTCTGCTTTGGTTGCGACTCCTGCAAGTATTAATTAGTTATTTAAATGTGTTTTTCTACTTGCCTAGTTTTATCATTTATGACTTCTTATTATGTATGTGTTTCCTTTCTTTTATTTTTCTTAGTTTTAAATGTTTGTTTTTTCCTGCTATGTGTGAGGTGACCTGTTGTGTACTACTACTGTTTAATTAAAGTTAATTTGCGTTACATTAGCATTTTTGTTATTCTGAATTTCTGATTGAACCAATTTTTATAATCAAAGGAATATAAATTCACTACCAAAGTTAAACAATAAAATACGGACGGTTTCAGTTGGGCTTATTCGTTATAGGCTTAATATTTTAAAACGAAGCCCATTAAAATTAAACGGGCACAGTGAGCATACAAGAGTGAAAACGCGTGCAATATAATTGAATGATGATGTAGTTGAGTGTTGTGCGTAAAAAGGAATCAAATTTAGTGAAAGATTGCCATTTTTGGGATGTTGCATCTCGAGTTAATTTAGTGAAATGGAAGAAATATTATGTATGGAAATTTTCCAAAGGCAAACCCTTCTGAAGTCTTTGAATAAGAGAGAAAATAAATTAGGGTTGTTTCGGACAGAGAAAGAAGATAGACAAAAAAAATGGCTCTGTTTCTCAACCGCGTCTTGACGCTCTCTGTAAGATACATTCATCTCTCACACATCAGAATTTCTTTATTCCTCTTACTTTATGTACTAATGATTTATGTATGTCCACAGGGACGCAGGGACAATGCTCGTTTTTTCTCATCATTGCCGCAGTTCCCGTATTTGCTAATGGGCGGTAAGAAGTTTGGAGAGTCTCCGGAGGGTAAAATCAGGAAGCACAGGTTATTTGATCCGACAACTGAAGAGACAGTGTATAGCAAAGAGAAGACGATTCCCAAGAAGCTCAATGGGCAACCTCTCGTGGGAGCATCACAAGGTTGGATAGCTTCTCTGGAGAACAAAGACCTTACCGTGCATATCACGGATGTGTACAAGCCATGGCTCTCATCTTCAAAAGTAATATCATTGCCTTCAATTGGGTTTAAACCCTCAACACATGCAACGAGAGTGTCTTTCTCTTCTTCTGATCCTGTCCAAGACGACTTTTCCGTGGCTGCAAAGTTCGACGAGTATCGGCTAAGTGTATGTAGGCCTTGTTGGGACTCTAAGTGGACTCACATCGAGACAGCTTATTCTCTTTTACCAGCCTCTGATCTCATGTATTCCAAGAGAGACAAAGTCTTCTACTTTACCAGTTTTAAGGGTAACTACATGGCTTCCTTGGATCTCAGCAACAACTTCGAGCCCGAGTATCAACACTTACGCCTTCGAAACCTGCCTAAGATCCCAGAGGTAGGTTGGGAGATGTTGGATAAATGTTTCATGACCCACCACTTAGTGGAGTCTCCCTCTGGTGAAATTTTCTTCATCAAGTGGTAAGTATTTCGAATCACTTAATCAATCTAGGTTTAAGTAGAGTTATATTGAGCTGCTAGCTTGTTTCTGTCTAGGTATACACAGTGCATTCACAAAGAGGACAAAGATGGGGATTTGGAATATATCCACAGCAGTACCAAGCGGTTCATGATCTTTAGGCAAGATGGGATGAGCAAAGACTTTTGTTACACGGAAGATATTGGAGATCTCTGCATCTTCCTTAGTGAGAGTGAAGCCTTCTGTCTCTCGGCAAGCTTGTACCCTAGGCTCAAACCTAACTCCATCTATTACATTGGTCCTAGACTTGGTTCTTACGATCTGGCTTCTGGTACGGACCGTCCCTTCACCTTCGATCGCCTTGGTGATCCCTCGCTGGTCCGTACCCCTTTCTGGCTTCATCCCACTGATCCCATTGCTTAACAATGCTTCTTTCTGGTTCCTTTCCTTTCAATCTTCTTTCTCTGAGCTTTAGCTAGGATTTAGGTTTGTTTAGTTCAATAAGTGGTCGTCTTGCCAATTTTGTGTTATGTTCTTCATCAAGTGGTCGTCATCATGTCACTTGTTAGGTGTTTTATGAGCTTTTGTATCTTGTCTTATTCTTCACAAAGTGGTCACCATGACACTTGTTCTTCTAGTATGCTTGATTAATGACTCATTTTGACAATAGCATCTTTAAGAACTGATTCTACAGTCTTAATTAGGTATTTGATTCAACAAGTAGACTCTATGTCTTGTTCTTTAAATTGATACTCGAGTTATCTGGAAGGCTTGTGCTCCAGTATAGTAACCAGACTTAAAAGAAGCGAGCATTGTTAACCCTGCAAGCAGGGTCGGCCTATGGGTAAAGCCCATGAAGCAAGGGCTTTAGGCATCAAATAATTATAAGTAGTTTTAAGGGCATCATTTTTTAAAATGTTACTATGGTCTAGTGGTTAGATTGAAGTCTTTTGTTGTACAGGTCATGGTTTCGAATCTCATACATGTTGAAATTTGTATTTTTTTTTTATAACAGCTTTTGTTAATAGGCCAAAAATTTTTTTGCTTTAGGCACTCAAATAGTTTGGACCGGCCCTGCCTGCAAGCCTGTCAATTGTTACAAACAAAAAGGCAAAATTCAATCAAAGAGACTATGAAATGAGAGAGAGATAAAGTGTATCTTCTTACAGTAGAAAGCTTGGAGATTCGGCTGAAAAACAGAGCCATTGTTGTCTTGTCTTAGGAACTCCCAAAAGAAACTCTAATTGCTTGTGCCTTCTTCATCTTTATCTGGTGGTACTTATATTTCCGACCGTATACTTTTTTCGCTACATCAAATCAATGGGTATTGGCAATTTGGCATTGCCACGCAGTTTATCCTCAACTCCTTTTCTTGTTGGGCTATTTCAGTTTTCGCGGCCCAGTAAGACAATTAATGTCTTGGACTCTTTTTTTGCAGTCAGATCAATGTGGTCACAATTAATGATTATTGTATGGGCCTTAGTTTTAAATTTGGGCATATGTAATAAAATACCAAACTCATATTGACCTGCTTAATCGAAGCTAGCCGATTAAACAAACATCTTGAATGATGTGGAAGTCCCCTTGGTCCATTGGTTGACCAAGGGTTAATTAATGTTTCTACACCAAAAGATTTGGGGTTCGAGTCTCAGATATTGTGATTTATTAATAAATTTGCAGATTAAAGGCAGCAAGTGTGCAGGAGATCTCCAGCAAAGTACAATTATAGCCGTTCGCCAGGATTCTACGCAAAGAGAAGTGTCGTCAGGTCGTGGATCATTGAAGGTGTCCGTCTAGAGCATGGAGAAGGAAGTATCGTCTGTCGTGGATATACTAAGGATCAGAAGGAATTGTCCGTTGTAGAATTGTCTATGTAACAGTTCTCATAATTTGCAATAAAATAATAAATCTAGACGTCAAAAAAAAGAATATTAAAATTAAATTACTTGATTATAAAATTGTTTATCATTTTAGATTCAAAATAAGAATTGTACTGATTAGGCTATATATGGATTTTGGGTTGAGTTTGACATTTTAATTCACATATACAGATTAACTATAGTATATAATAGTATTGATGGGTAGAGGAACAGTATGTCAATATCACTTGTATGTAACATGCTCCTACAGTCCTACCATACCCTTAAAGGATATGTAATGTAAATATGGAGTTTTTTTTTTTTTTGTCAATAAGTATTATTTTATAACATTTCAAAATCCAATTGTTAAGTGTGTAACGTGTGGGACGAGAAAACATGAATACATGATGAAAGATAAATTCAAACATCTTTTGAAATTCCAACTATACGATTTATATAAGTTGTCACAATTGGGAACATGTGAGATTCAACTTTTAAAAGTTTGCCCGTTAAAATTTTAATACAAAAAAAGTAATAAATGAACGAAAACAATATATAATCATTGCATTACACCTTACTTGTGTTTTTCTTACACTTCCGGTCCTAATTTCAAGAAAAATGAAGAATATGATTATTGATGCAATTAGGTTCCTTATTTTGTCTTTAAGCTTCTATATAAGTAGAGAAAATGTGGTTCTATTGAAAACATCCATACAAAATGAAAAGAGCTAAATCCGTTGCAAAGTTTTTCAAAACAGCCGGTAAAAACCGTAAGCGAGCTACTTAATCTCTAGCATGAGGAAAGTCAAAGCAGCCCTAACTATGGTGGTTATGGTCAAAATTACCTTCCAAGTCCTAGACGTTACGGGCAAATCAACCCTTATCAAGGAAGTCCTGGAATCTATGGTGATTATGGTCAAAGCTCTCCAAGTCTCCCCAAGTCTTAGGCGTTACGGAAAAATTGTGTCAAATATCTCTATTACTTTGTTAAAGATTTAAAATATATACATATAAAATTATGTATTCTAGGTCACAGCTAATATGCATCAATAAGAACAGTTGTACAATCCTTGCACAACTATTGATCACATCATTTATAATTTGTTTTTACTTATGCATATTATGACGATCATGTTAATGATGGTAGTGGCCAATGGAACCATGGTGGTCAAATTAGTCTCGGTAGTCGTTAAGAGAGCTACAATAACAAAACTAGTCGTGGTAGTCTCCTAGTGGTCGAAGGAGCCCTTACCATCGTGTCTCTCCCGCTGGTCGAAGGAGCCCTTACCGTCGTGTCTCTCCAGGCGGTCAAAGCTCTAGCCACGGTGGTAAGAACCGCCACGTCTCTCCAACCGGTCAAAGCAGCCTTAGTAACCCTAGTTCCGACACTGACGTCAATTCCAACCATGAAAACAGTCCTAGCAAACGTGGTTCCGACACTTACACCTTGGAAGAGAAAGACGCTTTGAAGAACTTCCCTGGAAATGAGTATCCTCCTGGTTGGGACAGCAAGCTGGATATTACCTGGATTGGTGGTGATCTCTCAGATGCAGGTGTTGGTTTTGAAAGTCTCCAAATCGACGATGAAGATGACTAGGCGTTGGTGGCGGCGGTCGGCGGTACTCGGACACCCTCTCTAATAATGGTTTCGTGTTTTAAGAATATTATGTGTTAATTAAGTGTCTCTGATTTAGATGTTTTAATGACTTTGGTTTAATGTTGTCAAATCTATCTTGTGTGTGAACGCGTTTATAATTAAGAGAATATAATATTGTGTTTGGTTTGTGATGTCTCTTGAGTTAATTAATATAATGACTATTGTTGTCTAACGCTGTTCCTGATCGTTTTAGTTTTCGTGAAATCTCTCATAATATCGTAAACTAAGTTTTATCTTGTGGGGCTTCTGACTGGGGCCGGTTAAGTAATATAAACATGTGCTTTATATACGAGGTGATAAAAAGAGTAAAGGAGGAATGTCGAAACAGAAATAGTACAAAGACAAACTTATGTTTTGAGATATTTTATTTTCTATTGGACATACAGTATATCGTTTAACTTTATTTTTACTTTTCATATGTTCGACTATTTGTAATATATTCAGCAGCTCACTTTTATTTATTTATAAAATATATTGTTTTGTGTATAGTTTTCTGTAGATCAAACCAAATTTAATGTAACAAATTTATCTTTTACATAAGATCAAAGGCAACCGAGTGAACTTGTCAAGGTCTAAATATGAATAACATTGATTTCAAGATTACTCGAATAAAATAGAGTTTGTTTGTATTTTATGTTTTTGGTGCTGTAGTGAGTGAATTAGCGATCAAGTAAATTCAATTCGGAAAACCCAACATTACTGCTGGAGTTGGCTTATACTATTACATATACTTGGTATTATAAATTTTTATAATCAAAGTAATATAAACAATACCAAAGTCAAACAATAGAATACGGACTATCTCAGTTGGGCTTATTAGTTATGGGTTTCATGGGCTTCATATTTTAAATTGAAGCCCATTAAAATTAAACATGGGAGTGAACGCGTGCAATTGAATGATGATGAAGTTGGGTGTTGTGCGCAAAACGGAATCAAATTTGACTCTCGGATATGAAAGCTTGCCATTTTTGGGATGTTGCATCTCGAGTTAATTTAGTGTAATGTAAGAAATACTATTTATGGAAATTTTCCAAAGCCAAACCCGTCTGAGGTCTTTTGAATAAGAGAGAAGAGCAATTAGGGTTTCGGACAGAGAAAGAAGATAGACAAAAAAAAATGGCTCTGTTTCTCAGCCGCGTCTTGACGCTCTCTGTAAGATACATTCATCTCTCACACATCAGAATTTCTTTATTCCACTTACTTTGGTTTTATGTACTAATGATTTAAGTATGTCCACAGGGACGCAGGGACAATGCTCGTTTCTTCTCATCATTGCCGCAGTTCCCGTATTTGCTAATGGGCGGTAAGAAGTTGGGAGAGTCTCCGGAGGGTAAAATCAGGAAGCACAGGTTATTTGATCCGACAACTGAAGAGACAGTGTATAGCAAAGAGAAGACGATTCCCAAGAAGCTCAATGGGCAACCTCTCGTGGGAGCATCACAAGGTTGGATAGCTTCTCTGGAGAACAAAGACCTTACCGTGCATATCACGGATGTGTACAAGCCATGGCTCTCATCTTCAAAAGTAATATCATTGCCTTCAATTGGGTTTAAACCCTCAACACATGCAACGAGAGTGTCTTTCTCTTCTTCTGATCCTGTCCAAGACGACTTTTCCGTGGCTGCAAAGTTTGACGAGTATCGGCTAAGTGTATGTAGGCCTTATTGGGACTCTAAGTGGACTCACATCGAGACAGCTTATTCTCTTTTACCAGCCTCTGATCTCATGTATTCAAAGAGAGACAAAGTCTTTTACTTTACCAGTTTTAAGGGTAACTACATGGCTTCGTTGGATCTCACCAACAACTTCGAGCCCGAGTATCAACACTTACGCCTTCGAAACCTGCCTAAGATCCCAGAGGTAGGTTGGGAGATGTTGGATAAATGTTTCATGACCCACCACTTAGTGGAGTCTCCCTCTGGTGAACTTTTCTTCATCAAGTGGTAAGTATTTCGAATCACTTTATCAATTTAGGTTTAAGTAGAGTTATATTGAGCTGCTTGTTTCTGTCTAGGTACACACAGTGCATTCACAAAGAGGACAAAGATGGGGATTTGGAATTTATCCACAGCAATACCAAGCGGTTCATGATCTTTAGGCAAGATGGGATGAGCAAAGACTTTTGTTACACGGAAGATATTGGAGATCTTTGCATCTTCCTTAGTAAGAGTGAAGCCTTCTGTCTCTCGGCAAGCATGTACCCTAGGCTCAAACCTAACTCCATCTATTACATTGGCCCTAGACTTGGTTCTTACAATCTGGCTTCTGGTACGGACCGTCCCTTCACCTTCGATCGCCTTGGTGATCCCTCGCTGGTCCGTACCCCGTTCTGGCTTCATCCCACTGATCCCATTGCTTAACAATGCTTCTTTCTTGTTCCTTTCCTTTCAATCTTCTTCTCTGAGCTTTAGCTAGGATTTAGGTTTGTTTAGTTCAATAAGTGGTCGTCTTGCCACTTTTGTGTTATGTTCTTCATCAAGTGGTCGTCATCATGTCACTTGTTAGGTGTTTTATGAGCTTTTGTATCTTGTCTTATTCTTCACAAAGTGGTCACCATGACACTTGTTCTTCTAGTATGCTTGATTAATGACTCATTTAGACAATAGCATCCTTAAGAACTGATTCTACAGTCTTAATTAGATACTAGATGTTAACCCGCGGTACACCGCGGGCCTATAATTTTATTAAACAATTAAAATAAATTTTATAAAGATGATCTATAGATATATACTATTGTTTTGTTTGATTTAAATGTATGGTACACCGCATGACGATATTTTATAACTAAAAAATTAAAATAAAATTTTTATTTGTTTTGTTAATATTGTTTGTTTAGTTTTGTTTAGTGTTTAAGATTGTATAGTTATATTTTGATTGTCAATTCTAGGATTTCACACGTGGTATATCATACAGTATTAATATCGACCCAAAATTCAAATAGTCTTTTGATTGTTATATCTAGGATTTCACCCGTAATATACCGTTGTATTAATATCTTTTGTAAATATTTATAAGGTTTAAATTTCTGATAAATTCTTAAAAATTCAAATATTTATTTTATTTGAAAGTTTATAAAATTCTTAATATTATAAATATTTAAAATGAAAAAGAAAATTAACAATATGGAATATTTATTCATATTTGTAGATAAAGTTTTTTTTATATTAACTTATAGATAAAAAAATTGTAGTAATGGCATTCTCTAGGATTTAACCCGTAGTAGAACACAAACAACATTATATTTTATGCATTTTGTATCATAAAGAACATCTCTTTACGATGCTGTTTACTTTACTATGATTATGCAATAATTACTCTAATATGAAGTTTGGTTTGAGTTCTATTGCTACCAAACCTTATCGAGATTCATTTCTTACTTATGCGGAGTCAAGATGTTGAAACTGTTATAGTTTCAGATGGAAGCTTGGGACAAAAATCATAAATGTGATCAGCCAACAATTCTACACGAACTCCACCCTCGAATGGTTTCTAGATAGAAAATTGTATAGTTCAAAAATTTATATAATTAGCTTTGTAAAAGTATTGATGCTGGATTCTTTCGTATTAAACAAAAATCAAATTTAATACAAAAAAAAAAACAAAATTGAAACTTTACTTAGAAAATGTCTCCAACACCCATTTTCGAAAGAAGCGCATTGACTGTAATGGAGGATAGAAATAGGAGGAGACTGAAAAGCCGAAGAAGAGCAAGCCTCCAACAGTTGCAACCGTCCGTTGTGAGATCCTTAAAGCCAGCATGCTTCCTCCAACAACCGCTGGTGAAGTACACAACGCGTTTGTCCAATAGTTGCCCCGATGGACAATCGTACCTATATCGACACTTCAAAAAAGATAAATGTCATTCACTGGTCAATTTTTTTAAGAAGCTAGATTTGAAAGATGAGTCTTACATCTATTGTAGCGATCTTGCTACGGTCACCCCATTCAGCTAGAAAGGTTAAGTTGAAGGACTGCAAGAAAATACAACATAAAGGACTTTTTAAACAGTTTACGGCTAAATTACAAACTGAAAGCATCAATATGCCCAATAGACAATTACCTCTAGAAATATTGGGGTACAAAATCTTGAGAATAAGCGACGGAAGGCTGTCTTCCCTTGGCATAACTTGAGCTTCTCTTAAACCTTTACCAAAGAAAATGGGAAGTCAGATAACTTTGAATGTTAATAACAAATAAGAACGTCAGGCATAATCTTTTTTTAATTATAAAAATGCAAACAACTACCAATTTGAAGCCCGTTGACTTTTGGTATTTATAGATGCATTGTTCATGTAGGGTTAAGGTTGAGTCGGTTTTAGAATATCCTGGAAATCAAGTAGAAAATCTTAGATTTCTTAAACAAATTTTTGGATTATATGATCAATCACGATTAATGATAGAATTTTTGTAAGGTAACAATATAGTTACGATGGAATATTGTAAAAGATAGTAGACCCCTTGATTTAGGCAATATTTTTATTTTGGAATATGTAAAGAATATGCTTAAGATTAATATTTTTGGGAGTAACAGTGGATTGATTTGAGGGAGAAAATTTTTCGAATTAAATATGGCTAATTATAAGAAAGTGAAGAGATATAGTCATATTAATTAGGCTAAGATAGTGGATTATTGCATATATTCTTATTTCCTAAATCTTTTGGTTAATATTTCCTAACTATATATGCGATAAGGTATGTGGAGAGTAATTAGTTTAGATTGTGCAAATATTCGTAATCAATTTAATATAAAAAGGATCCGGATCCGATTAATGTGGCAAATATTTTAGGTAATATCATTAAACCGAATTGTTAGAGTAATTAAAAGATAAATATTCGTTTGTTTTAAGACAACATTCCTAAAAATCTTTATCCAAGATCCGGATAGAGTTAAACCCGGATAAAACTCGGATCCAAAAGAATTAATGCAAAAAAAACCCTGTAAAAATGTATATGTAGATTTGATTCAACAAGTAGACTCTATGTCTTGTTCTTTAAATTGATACTCGAGTTATCTGGAAGGCTTGTGCTCCAGTATAGTAACCAGACTTAAAAGAAGCGAGCATTGTTAACCCTGCAAGCCTGTCAATTTTTACAAACAAAAAGGCAAAATTCAATCAAAGAGACTATGAAATGAGAGAGAGATAAAGTGTATCTTCTTACAGTAGAAAGCTTGGAGATTCGGCTGAAAAACAGAGCCATTGTTGTCTTGTCTTAGGCTTTGGCTTTCCAAAGCTTCCATTTTTTCGAAACAAACTAGTCTCTGTTTTAGATGCGAAGATCCCAAATATGGAAACTTTTGAAACTAAATTTCCCATCTTCACTAATGAATGATGATTTAGTGAATTAGGGTTTTCCTTTTTGCGGAGGCAACTTTGACTCCTTTCTCGCAGTCACCCATCCATCCAACTACATCAATCAATTCTATGGGCCTTACTTTTCAAATCTGGGCTTCTACTAAAACACCAAGCCCATATTGAATTATTGACTGCTTTAGCTAGCCGATTAAAATCTTCACTTAGTTTGTTTTGAAAAATCGTAGATTTATGCCTGCAAGGCTGCAACAAGTGTTATTTTTATTAATACATTCACATATCGATATATAACCTCTTTTTCGATAAATGATTCCAAAATTTAATTATATTGTATTCATTTTGTGGATGCTGAGATATTTAATTGATTGGAGAAGATTTTTTTTATCAAAAAGAAAGAAAACAAAAAAAGTTTCTCTTTCTGTCTTTCACATCACAACTGTATTGAACAATTAATTTTCTGAAAAACGTGCGTAAGAGGCCATTCATTACAGGAACCATGTTCTAAAAATCGGCCACCTAGACGTTGATTGGGTAGAAACTACAGCGATTTTGTCCAAATCGATAAAAAAAAATCGGTGATCCAATTTTTGTCCGCCTATATCGCCTAGCCCGAGGGACATGCTAGAACCATGACGACAAAACTAGAGATATAAACAGTTTTTCTTAGTTCGTTTTTTTTTTTTACAATTCCAAAACATGCTAAATTAATGTGAAAGATAAATAAACTAAAATAACCAAAAATATGAATACTAGAATTGTATTACTCCAATTAAAATATATTGAAAATCGTGGATGATGTTATATATATACATCCGAAAACAAAGAGGAGATGTGTATAAAACGAATGCGACAATTAAATTCCCTAAAAAGAGCTCTCTCGTCAAACCCTAGATCTAGCCGCCGCCCCCCCAAATCTTGTCGCCGTCTCCTCTCCGCCGCCCGAGGCGCTCTGCCGGCGGTGTGAGAGGGTTCCTCTTCCTCTGTCTTTTATTTTTCTCTTTTATTGTAGGTAAGTAGATAACTCGGCAGCTTCTCTCCGGTGAATGCTATGAAGCGAGATCTCGGCTCGCTGTCTTCTCCGGGAGTCTGGTTGGGGCTCGTCGCAGCGCCGTCTGGCTCTCCTGTTTTCCCCTGTTCTTTATATGGAGACCCTAGCTAGCCGGAGCAAAGCAGTCGAGTTAGGTCTTGGAGTCTTACCGGTGGTTGAGGAGATCTGCGCTTGTCGGTGCCGAGATTGAGGTAGACCTCAAAGCCGCTTGTTCGAGAGCTTCTACAACCTTCTGGTTCAGTCCGGTCTAGGAGCGAGATAACAAGACGGAGGCGATGTGGCTAATCTGGAAATGCACCATGAGGTGAAGAATACTAATCAGTGCTCTACACTCCTATTATTAGGCGATTAGTATCTGGTATTACTAGGTAATCTCAGAGAAGTTGCTGGTCCTGCTGAGCTTATCTTGGGTCTCTTGACCGGGTCAGTCGGACATGTTGTCCGTTTTTAGGTTTAAGGCCGGAACAACGAAAGACGGGGAAACCAAACTTTTCTGATGATGCGCCTTCGTGTGTAAGTGCTATTGGGACAAGTGCTACACTCCAATCATGAGGGACTAATAGTTTGGAATTCCTTGGTTAGTCAGTTTAGGTTTTGATCTTCTCCGGGTAACCGGGTTAGTAGTTGTTTTCATGTCATTAGGATCTTTTTTTAGTGGTTTAAGAGATGATTTCACTCCGAGTAGTGGGGTGGATTCTATCTCATTGGTTGAAAAAATACAATGAATTGTATGCCAGGTAACGTTGGATCCAACTTAGTGTTCCAGGGTCTACTAGGCTCATTCATTGCATTTGGTCCAATTCTGTCGAGGTCATTGTATGAGGACTATCGATTTGTAATTTGAATTGGAAAATATAATGAGTTGATGTTGAGCCAAAAAAAAAAAAAAGAGGAGATGTGGATATTTTGAATCAAGTTTCGGAATTGTAAACAAAAGACAAACTACGAAAAACTGTATATTTATTACTCTTTTTCATTTCTAGCTCAAAATATGAAACATTTTAGTAGTAGTTTTCAAGAATTGTGTAATTGTACTAGTCATACGTGATCTATTTGAGGATATGGACTAGGTTAATCGACTCCTGTCCACTGATCGTAAACATTTATCAATTGCCAATAAAACATTTTGTTATCTATATGAACTATATTTGTTAATTTACGCCCAAAAAAATCAACAAATGTTAATTACCGCCTCAAGATTAGAAATGTTTGTGAAAAATATATGTTACAATTGACGGAAGTTTATCTACTGATTTATCATTGATTCACTTCAACGACAGTTTTAATATCTCATATTTGTTATATTAGATGTTTTAAGAGAAAAAAATTTGTTTCAATTTAAATGATGTTTTAATGTAAAATTAATTATTCTTTATCCTTTTTGACCATTTGTATTATGCAAATTATTTTAACATTAGTTGAATTGTGTTAAATATGTATTGCAAATGATGTTAGAAACAAAAATATAATGATAAATCTAACATAGGTTTCGCTATGAAACACCATAATCTAACATACAAACTGCGAGATCTTAACATTCGCAATACAGACATACCTATAACTCTATGACTAAAAGAGAATCAAGACTAATCTTTGAGAGCAAGTCAACTAGACAAGCCTAGTTTTTGTTTTCGAAACCTAAGCGGACGGAAGTTTCGTGGGCTTTAAATAGGCCCATAACGATATGTATTGTTTCACTTTTAGTCCTTAATATCTTCTGTTGATCATTTTCTTACCCGAAACTTAAGAAATTATCTAAAGTAAGAAATGCGTCCCTCATATAAAGTTGGAATTTTCACCGCGACCATGAAATTATTTCCAAATTATATCTGTAAATGTCAATTATTTAAACGATACAGAATTATAACCCCCATAATTAACAAATATATTAAGATCATACATACAGAATATATCTACAAAAAACATTTAAGAGAATTTAATTTTTTTCTTTATTCTATCAAATGCTGAATTCTAGACTTTGCGTGAGAGATCGGACTGCTCACAGGATCTAGCCACTTGGAATAAGAAGCTTCCTGACCACGACCGTAACCAAGTTGAATGTATTAGCTGTCTCCATTACGACAATTAAACATTTGAGTCAGTCAATTTCATCATTTTACCAACTACTACCATATCCACTCTTTAACGTGGCATCTCTTCCTTCTTATCCCCGTTTTAAATTTTGTTTTCATCAAAGCTTTTTCATAATAAAATACAATGTTGATCCTTATCCTATTTCCTTAGGACCTTAACCAGTCTAAATTTGTCAAGTGTCAATCAAACAAAAAAAAAAACTCAAATATGTGCCCACAAAAAAAGGTACTCAAATTAACGAATTCTTTTTATTTTTGTGCAACAACTAATGTTCAATTTCATATAAATTACTACCTAGTGAATAATAACACTCAAGAGTAATAACAAAAGAATTACAAAATTGGATAACCACTTAAAAAATTGTCAGAAAGTAGTAGAAATAACATATACTTTTATACTTAAAAAAACTTAAATTTATCTTATTTTAATATAACTTTTTAAAATCAACACTTTTCCCCTCTTTTTTGGTTAATAACGGAATCATTTGGTTCTATTAGAGTAAAACTCCACCTCTGTCAAGGTCGGTCCAAGCCGGTGGTAAAGTATCCAACTCTCAAATCCAACTTTTTCTGAGCAAAAACTCCCAAAATCCAAATTAATTTGAGCCAAAAGTAACAATATTAATTAATTTTACTATTCAAAAAAAGAAACACCACTAAACAAAAACCGCGTGATTTCCAAAGCCAATAAATAAAACACAGGCTTTTACTACAAGATGGCCCAATCACCAGCTGTTGCCTCAAATACGCGGCTTCTTCTTTCACCTAACCAAGTAACGAACCTTCCTCTACACGAACCGCCTCTCAAAATCTTCACTACTATATATACATTCTTCCATAAACCCTCAAAAACCACAACAAACCAATAACTCAATACAAGAAAATCCACAAACTCAAAAACAATCTCTAAAAAATGTCAATCACTTACTTACTTCCTCTGTTTATTTCTCTCATCATCTCCTCTGTTTCAGCTAATTTCCAAAGAGATGTTGAGATTACTTGGGGAGATGGTCGTGGACAGATCAAGAACAATGGAGAGCTTCTCACTTTATCTCTAGACAAATCCTCTGGTTCTGGATTCCAGTCCAAAAACGAATACTTGTTCGGTAAAATCGCCATGCAAATGAAACTCGTCCCTGGAAACTCCGCAGGAACAGTCACAACACTTTACGTAAGTTCACCTAAACAATCTCTGTTTTTGGTTTTTGTACATTCTTAAGTTCTTGTATCTGAAATGGTTTTTTTGTATATGAACAGTTGAAATCACCTGGAACAACATGGGACGAGATTGACTTCGAGTTTTTAGGTAATTCAAGTGGAGATCCTTACACACTTCACACAAATGTCTACACACAAGGCAAAGGAGACAAAGAACAACAATTCAAACTCTGGTTTGACCCAACAGCTGATTTCCACACTTACACCATTCTATGGAACCCACAAAGAATCATCTTCACCGTCGATGGAACTCCGATTAGAGAATTCAAGAACATGGAGTCTCTAGGCACTCTGTTTCCCAAGAACAAACCAATGAGAATGTACTCTAGTCTTTGGAACGCTGATGATTGGGCAACGAGAGGTGGTTTGGTCAAAACCGATTGGTCTAAAGCTCCTTTCACTGCTTCCTACCGTGGCTTTAAACAAGAAGCTTGTGTTTGGTCAAACGGCAAGTCTTCTTGTCCTAATGCCTCCAAACAGGGGACCACTGGCTCGTGGTTGTCACAAGAGCTTGACTCAACGGCTCAACAAAGGATGAGATGGGTGCAGAGGAACTACATGATCTATAATTATTGTACGGATGCAAAGAGGTTCCCTCAAGGTCTTCCTAAAGAGTGCTTAGCTGCATAGAGAGTAAATCGTTGAGAGATGAACATATTTTACTTTTTCTCTGTGGTTATAAAATTCTATTCATTTTATTGTAGATCACGTGAATTTTATTGATTTGGTTGTAGTGTACTATATAGTTCCCCTTAAAGTTATAATATTCTCTTTGTTACAATATGCGTTTTTGTATTTTTTAAGTCTCTCGTAGTTCGTTCCGTTATATTCTCCGAGTCCGTCCAAAAATGGCCGCTTCTGTTTAATTTAGAACTAGGGTTGGACAGTCAAAACTCAAAACCAAACCCAATGGAGCAATAACCTTTTTCTAGTTTTTATAATTGAGCAAGAACTTTTTTAATCGAAAATCAAACTGGAATTTGCATGTAATTTGATTGGTGTCATTACTTTAATCCCGTACAAAACAAAATTAAACCGATTTTGGTTTTAAGTATATAATCGATAAACCTAATAAGAAAACCGCACAAAATCTACGCCCGCGGGATACCGCGGGTTAAATCCTAGTTCTTGAGTTATTTTGTTAACCAGCTATAATTTGGTGGAACTACCGTACCAAATTTGATTTTAGTTGGATTATAAATGTTTCAAACAGAATTAGCCCCAAAACCGAGATATCCTAGCCAAGGTGACATACATATATTATCCACTCGTATGCAGAACCAATTTAACAAATCCTAAACTAAACTGGGCATTAACCGAACCGGATCAGGCAGACTTAAACCAAAACAAAGAACAAGCACACGTAGCATGAGGCAAAATTAAGCACATGCTTTGCTTTACTTCAAAACAAGAACCAGCTGTTCACAGCTAAAACTACACAAGAGTCACAAACGGCGAACTATACTCCAAAAAGACTAAGACTTGCCTCCCTTATATAAAACCCCCCCAACACATAAGGTCCCAATGAACGATTTCAATTCTCCATCTTATTGACACATAAACATGGACCGGTCCACTTTGATCTTATCCCTACTCTTCACACTCACCGTCTCGACCAGGACCCTCTTCTCTCCGGTTTTCTGCGGAACTTTCGACACAGAATTCGATATCACTTGGGGTGATGGTCGTGGAAAGGTCCTTAACAACGGAGAGCTTCTCACTCTTTCCCTCGACAGAGCCTCCGGCTCTGGTTTTCAAACCAAGAAAGAGTATTTATTTGGGAAAATCGATATGCAGCTCAAACTCGTCCCCGGGAACTCCGCCGGAACTGTCACCGCCTACTACGTTAGTGTTACTTAACATCATAACATATATAACATGGCCGTTTTTAGCACGTGTGGAAAGCTCCAATTTAAAATTTTATTTCTTATAGGATAAATTTATGAATATTTATATAAATTGAGGCTCTTATTTCTTTAAGAAAAATTATCAACAGAGATTAATCTAAATCATTTGAGACGGTCCTATACGATGTTACCAACTTACCATGTCAAATTTTTATTAGGTCTTTTATAATCTAAATCATTTGAGACGGTCCTATACGATGTTACCAACTTACCATGTCAAAATTTTGTTAGGTCTTTTATACTTTTGAATATTAGAACAGTTTGTGATTGTTTTGATTTTCCATGCAGTTGAAGTCGAAAGGTGATACGTGGGACGAAATCGATTTCGAGTTTCTTGGTAATCTAACTGGTGATCCGTATACCATGCATACGAATGTGTATACTCAAGGCAAAGGTGATAGAGAACAACAATTCCATCTTTGGTTCGATCCAACCGCTGATTTCCACACTTACTCTGTTTTATGGAACCCTCATCACATCGTGTAAGTATATAAAAAGATATACACGACGAAGAAACATAAGTTAATTTTTTTTTTTTGTTCTAACTTCTAACTATAAGTGATCCAGCTTTGGGCAGACATGATTTTTACAGGTCCAAAACACATCTTTGATAACACATTGAACGTCAACTTTTGAGTTTATTAATAACTAATTTATCATTTATATGTTTTGATGCAGTTTCATGGTTGATGATATTCCGGTAAGAGAATTCAAGAATCTACAACATATGGGTATTCTGTATCCAAAATTGCAGCCGATGAGGCTATACTCGAGCCTATGGAACGCGGACCAGTGGGCTACAAGGGGAGGTCTTGTTAAGACTGACTGGTCCAAGGCACCATTCACCGCTTCTTACAGGAACTTTAGAGCGGATGCATGTGTTTCCTCGGGCGGAAGATCATCTTGTCCTGCCGGTTCACCTAGATGGTTCTCTCAAAGGCTTGATCTAACAGCAGCAGATAAGATGAGAGTGGTGCAGAGGAAGTACATGGTCTATAACTATTGTACAGACACCAAAAGGTTTCCTCAAGGATTTCCAAAGGAGTGTAGACACTAGCTACGGGAATTAATGTTTGATCCGAAACTCCAAAGCTAGTAGTATGTAGATTCGTCCAAATTATATATGTAATGTTTATGTTTATTTAGGTTCTGTATTAAGCAATTTCCCCTGTTTCTGTGTAGATATTGTCATAATAAAATGGGCGTGTGTTAGATTATGGCTTTGTATATCTTCATGAACAGTAACCTTGTCGGATTGTGTCCAACAAGCAAATTCGTCAGTAAATCTTATAGAAAATTTGGATAGTTTTCATAGCCATTGATGATGTGTCGTTTTTTTCTATAAAAACATTTGTAGGCCCTATGAGTGTTTTGACTATGATTGACTGAGATTTTATTGTTTTTTGGCATATGGACTGACTTAGATTTATCAACCTGGAAATGAATGTTCTGGTTTTTGTTTTATTATTATGCAAAGAATATGCATGACAGTTCTTACATATGCGGTTGACATGTCCGTTCCATATTTTAAAAACATGTCGGTCCATTCACTAAAATCAAAACGAATATTTCGACATATTTACTTTCTTTTTTTATCAGCTTCGGCTTTATTACTTTTTTTTTTTTTGGTAAAATCGGCTTTATTACTTGTCTAAATAAAAATGCTAGTCGATTGGTTTAAGAACCTTATTGACTTTTGTTTTTGGTCAAACAGAACCTTATTAATTAAATTTTAAATTTATTATATAAAACAAACTTGTACAGCTAAATGATATAATAAATTTAAACTACGCGTTTGTTTATATGTACGTTGGGCGACTACGTACGTAAGCTGGCATAATTCATACAAAAGCTTCAACGATGTGGAGGGAAGCAACAGATAAGCTGAGAGTAATAAACTTTTGAGTGTTTTGACTATGATTGACTGAGATTTTTTATCCACCTGAAATGAATATTCATTTTTTCTTTCTTTTTTTGTTATGCAAATGAATAATGATGGGCGAGATTCGAAGAATAATTTTTAGTTGCCTTGAAAAATTATACGTGACAATTCTTATATGTATGTGGCTAACAGTTGACAAAAAAAAAAAAAAATGTATGTGGCTAACATGTCCGTCCACAATTTCGAAAACATGTCGGTCCATTTTACCAAAACCTAAACAAATATTTCAAGTTTTTTGTTTTGAGCAATTGTACAAATTAACGAAAATAAAATTGATCGCTTTTAAAGCATTTTTACCTCAAAATTTATTATACTATGAAACAATCTTATAAATTGAGCCAAATGCCTGAGAAGACAAAATTTCCTTAAACGATTAGAAAGTTTTTAAAAACATTACCTACATGTATAATTTATATGTGAGTTTAACGACTTTATACATAATTTATATGTAAGTTGACGTAATCATTTGTTTATAATAACTAAAATCGCCTAGTGAGACGACCACGTCGATGATGGAACTCCACGAACCTCTCTAATGCACTCACTTTTAAAAAATATCTCTCTCTATGAGTCTATATAAACACCAATCCCCGATCATATTTAAACATCAGAAAACAATCAAACAACCACAACAGCAAAAAATGGCGGCTTCTGCGACCAAACAGTCTCTGTTGTTGTTGGCGTCTCTTCTGGTCTTGATCGGCGTAACCACCGGAAGTTTCTACGACAGCTTCGATATCACTTGGGGAGCTGGTCGTGCTAATATATTCGAGAGTGGACAACTCTTGACTTGCACTCTCGACAAGATCTCCGGTTCAGGTTTTCAATCGAAGAAAGAGTATTTGTTCGGAAAGATCGATATGAAGATGAAACTTGTCGCTGGAAATTCTGCCGGAACCGTCACAGCTTACTACGTATGTAAAACTTCTTCTATATCCATTCTTTTAAATATTGTGGTATTTAATATCCCACATTGTATTGATCCTTAATCTAACATTAAGAATGTTTTAACAGCTTTCTTCAAAAGGTGAGAAATGGGATGAGATCGATTTCGAGTTCTTGGGTAACGTTACCGGACAGCCTTATGTTCTCCATACAAATGTGTTTACCGGAGGTAAAGGTGACCGCGAAATGCAGTTCTATCTCTGGTTTGATCCCACTGCGGATTTCCACACTTACACCGTCCTTTGGAATCCTCTTAACATCATGTAAGTAACCGATCAATCCAATTCAAGATATAAAAATATCGTTAGACGTTTAAAGCCGTCTAGAGGCTGATTTGTTTTTAGAAAAGTATTTGCACTTATATACTATACATTGTTTAAACCGATCAACTTATTTTAGTTTTCTCTCTCTTTTTTTTTAGCCGTTTTGAGTAGAATTATGGCAGAAGTTGATTTTAGAAACATGATATGATCCATGACCGTTCTTAATATTATGTTTTGTTTTTCTTGGGGTCTCAAAAGCTTTCTTGTGGACGGGATCCCAATCCGGGTGTTCAAGAACAACGAGGCTAACGGCGTTGCTTACCCGAAAAACCAACCAATGAAGATCTACTCGAGTCTTTGGGAAGCTGATGATTGGGCCACACAAGGCGGGAGAGTCAAGATCGATTGGACTAACGCTCCATTCAGCGCTTCCTACAAAAGTTTCAACGATGTGGACTGCTGCAGCCGGACCTCGATATGGGACTGGGTTACCTGTAATGCGAATAGCAACTCGTGGATGTGGACTACGCTTAACGCAAATCAGCTTGGACAGCTGAAGTGGGTGCAAGATGATTATATGATCTATAACTATTGTACAGATTTCAAGAGGTTCCCTCAAGGTTTACCCACGGAATGCAACCACAATTGATCGTATTACCAAGAAAATTCAAGCACTTGATGCTGTTTATTTCTTTCTTTTAATTTTCATCTCATACATGTTGATTTATTTGTTATTCTTTTGAGTTCCAAAGATTTATTTCCCATTTTGGGTAAATTGATTATTTGTTTTGTCATTGTCATAATTTGATTTCTTTGTTGATTGTTTTTTCTTTTCATATCTTAAAATCATAATAAAATTTGATTCGAACTTAACAAGACCAACCTGATAAGTGATAATAGAGCAAAGAAACAGAGTTTTCTGTCATAACACAGAGTAAAACAGAGTATTCAGTTACTTTTGAAAAACAGAGCATTCTGTTACTTTTGGAAAACAGAATAATATTCTGTTACTTTTGAAAACAGAGCAAATAACAGAGCTATCTGTACTGTCAACACATTAACGAATCTGATTTCTCTGTTATTATTATTTTCATTCCTCAGATTTGAGGACCGAACAGAACTTGAAAATTAGGCCCATGGGAAACTTTGGAAACAAAAGAGAGGTTCTCTCACTCTCAGCCAGGAGTGGAAAACAAAAGACGCAAACAAATACGTGAGCTTTGTTCTGTGATACAATGGGCTTTAGAAAGCCCACTAATATCCGAAACCAATAATTTGGTGGAAACACTTTTCCCGTGTAAATAATATAACGACCGTCCAAGATGTAACTGGTCAGTTTTATAGTTATGGACTCTCTTAATAAATTGCATTACTATACTTCTAACCCCCTTGCATGTTCGAAAGAATCAGAATATACTAAGTACAATAACAAATGTAAATACTTGTAATCTTTTTCTTCTCTTTACATGTAGTAGTAAGTAAAATCTGTGAAAAATCTAGAAGACAAACGGTAGCAAACAAAAGTGCTTAAGAGATAATTCAACTCAAAAGAATTAACTTTTCATGTCACTGATAATTCACCTTCATGATGTCAAAAAATAAATACTAATATTAATCCAACTTCTGACGTCTGATTGATCCAAAAAAAACAGAATCATTGTTGTAGAATTAGTCTAACTCATGTCTTATAGCTCTATTGCTTTTACATTATAAGTTGATGAAAATCATCATGGTATATCTAATAAAAAGACTTTTGATTGATACGACATCGTTTGGACCCACAAGTTAGTTCATTACGTCTAAAACTCTTAGTCGGTAATTATAGAACAAGAAAAATAAAACGAATATCGTTTGAAATGAGATAATAACAACGAGTTCCGTTGATAAACTTGTTGGTCTCTTGTAAATGATAGACAAGATTGGTAACTAATAAAGTTTAGAAGTTTGCATTTGTGTTTGGACGATAACACTCATCTCTTAAACATCTCTTCAATCATGTTATGTCCACAAAAGTTATCAAGATTCCATGTACCGATTTCGACCTGAAAGAGATGATGAGAATTTTAACGATAAACCAGTCTAAAACTGTTTCGACTGTTGACCCTAAAAACAAATTCGGTTACTTATAAAAAAAGATGATAATTTTTAAATCTGAATATATAGAAAATAAACAAAATTGGCATAGATGGCTTACACTTATTACATCTAATTTATATTAAAAACCTTTAAACCATCGGTTTGTCAAAGTTTGGTTTTAAGTATAAATTGTTGATGTCAATATAATATATATACATAAACATAAAAACTAAAAAAAAGATACATAGTTTACGATTCCGGTTAAAGATAAGAGTATTGACTTTTTTTTTAGTATGAACCTTCACTGACTCTCAATTCTGATCAATCCAAGGTTTCGTTGAGTAGCAAATAAAAACAACCAAAGTCGATAGACCAAGTTCAAGTATGGAATCTAGTCATTATTATCATATATATTGTTTGACAAAACAAATATTATTATAACCATATTTTATTATTATTATTATAACCATATTAAATTACATTGAAATGCATTTTAATTAATATTAAATATTTTTGAATTGTAAGTAATCTATATATATAGATTAATATGGCATTAGCTTTTCTTATTTTTTTCCTTGTGAATTATTCTTGTGTTCAAATTAACATTACTTTTAGGGTTATGAATAAGGGCAGTGCCGGTTCTCTCCATGTGCGGGGAGAGTTCATGCACAGGGTCCAAAGTTTTTTTTGTCTTTTTCTTTTCAACTAAATTTATTAAAATTAGGGTCCAAATTTTTTTTTTTAATATATATACATAAGAGATAGGCGAATTGTTTTTTTCAGCTTAAGGGTTCTTAATTTTTTTGAGCCGGCCCTGAATAAGGGAGACACTATCTTGAGGAAGTGATCATCGTGACTTGCTCGATTCAGACATTGATGAATTATTGGATCTTAAAGTCATATTTTCAATTTTGTGCTTTCTCTCATCTCATACACGCCACTAATTACCTTCACTCGGGTTTTATTTATTTTCTTAAAATCAATTTAAGTGTTCCTTCATTATAAACCGGTTAACAAAATCAAATTTACATTAGATAGCCATACGTATAATTGTATTATGTATACCAAAGCAAATTATTATTTTCACTTTATGTAACATTCTTTTTTTTTTTTTATTCAAACACCTTATCCTTATGTAATAAAAGTTTGAAAGTATATATTCTTAACTTTCTTCCATATACATATATATATATATATATATATATATATAATTTCATTATGGCACTGTAAATTATGGTGTGGCCGGCTGTCATATGCTTAAAAATAAGAAGCAAATGCATGATCAATAATAAAGTACCAAGTACAAGTAATGACTTTACAAAATTAGATTTCCTCATTAGGAGGCTGAAAACTTTTACAATTCAACAAATAACGATACGTCAACAACCCTTTTTCGTGATAAGTCATCTCTTAATTAACTTACTTTTGGAACGGTACAATTTTTGGTGAGATGTTGTAAATTGATCCCCAGAAAATTAATGAAAACAGTTGTAATAGAATTATCATATACAGAATAAGCAAGACATGAAAACGGTTGTTCAAAAATTATTACGATATGTGGTTTGAGCTGGTTTAATGCTTTCAATGTTTGGTTAACTTCGGTTAATCATTCTCAATTTGTGAATATATATGCTTAATGTACACTCTGTTCTCTTTAATGCTTGTAACAACATTTTTGAGATAAATAAAAAGGTTTGTTATCTTCTTCTTCAAGCTCTTCATGAATTCTCCGATTCACCGGAGTTTGATATGGTAGCAGAGCGTTCTATCAAGCTTCCGCATTCTCTTCTTTCGTATTGCCGGTGTTAATCGGAGCTGATCGGAACTCATCGGAGCTAAATCGAAGCTCGTTGAAGTTCTTTCTTTCTTCTTTCGATTCTTCTTTTGATTTCTCTTTATCTTCTTTGATTCGTTGGATTCTTCCATTCTGTTTCTTTCTTTTCTTTCGATTGACCTTTGTGTTAACGAATCTTTGTTCTTCTTCATCAAATTTGTCACACATTTCTTTTTAATTTTCTATATCTCACATTGAGAATGGGATCTTATATACGACCATCTTTTCCGACGGATCTACCACCGCAACAACCTTCTAATGGTGAGCGATATCAAACGGATCAATATGCAAATCCATTTCATCTTCATCATAATGATCATGCTGGTTTGATCTTGGTTTCTGATAGATTGAGCACTGCCTCTGATTTTCCTGCTTGGAGACGTTCTATATGGATGGCTTTGAATGTCCGTAATAAGCTAGGGTTTATAGATGGTTCAATGGTTAAACCTCCTATAGATCACAGAGATTATGGTGCTTGGTCTAGATGTAATGATGTTGTAGCAACATGGTTAATAAACTCGGATGATAAAAAGATTGGGCAAAGTTTGCTTTTCATATCAACAGCTGAAGGTATATGGAAGAATTTGTTGACTAGGCTCAAGCAGGATGATGCACCTAGAATATTTGATATAGAACAACGACTGAGTAAGCTAGAGCAAGGTTCAATGGATATTTCTGCATATTATACTGCATTGCTTACTTTGTGGGAAGAACACAAGAACTATGTTGAGTTACCAATTTGTTCTTGTGGTAAATGTGAATGTGATGCTGCTGTCAAATGGGAAAAATTACAGCAGAGAAGTCGTGTGACTAAATTTCTTATGGGTTTAAATGAGGGATATGAACAAACAAGACGTCATATTCTCATGTTGAAGCCTATTCCTACTATAGAAGAAGCTTTTAACATTGTAACTCAGGATGAGAGGCAGAAAAGTATAAGACCAACGACTAGAGTTGATTCTGTTGCATTTCAAGCTACTGCTCCTGTGATAGAGAATGCAGATTATGGATATATTGCAGCATATAATACAGGGAGGCCAATACAGAAACCTATTTGTACCAATTGTGGGAAGACGGGTCATACGGTTCAGAGGTGTTATAAGATTCATGGATATCCTCCTGGCTATAAGACTAATGCGCCTTACAGAATCAATGGTCAACTAGAAGTTCAGCCTAGGATGCAAACAAGTCAGTTTCAGCCAAGGATGCCACAACAACCTATGCAACCTATGATAGCTCAAATGCAGCTTACTTCTCCAATGCAGTTGGTTCCTTATGCCAATACAATTTAGAATGCAAATGCATATGCAAGTGCTCATGGTAATGCTAATCAGTCAATGTTTGGTTCTTATATGCCTCTGCAACCTCAGATTACTACTGGTGGTAATAATAATGTGAATCTTCAAGATTTAACACCAGAACAAATTCAGAGTTTAGTTTCTCAATTCAATGCTTCTGTTACTATTCAAGAGCCTGAAGTTCCATCACCTAGTGCGTCTGGTCCTGTTGCTAGTATCACTGAACATGGATTAATGGCTCAGACTTCTACTTCTGGTACTTTTCTTTTTCCTTCTACCAGTCTTAAATACGAAAATGAAAATCTTACATTTCAAAACCATACACTTTCATCTCTTTAAAAGTTTTTACCTCCTGATGCTTGGATAATAGATAGTGGTGCTTCTAGTCACGTTTGTTCAGATTTAGCAATGTTTAGAGATTGAATACCTGTGTCTGGTGTCACTGTCACTCTTCCTAATGGTACTAGGGTTTCAATTACACACACAGGTACCATATGCATCACTTCATCTATCATATTGCATAATGTTTTACATGTGCCTGACTTCAAATTTAATTTGATAAGTGTGAGTTGTTTAGTTAGAACTTTATC